GTGCTAATCCGACGCCGTTTGGAGATTTAGGGCGTCAACACCTCCAATTCAAATTTCTTAATGAACTAGTTGCCTAGAGTGAAATCCAGCTCTAACTCCCCAAACGGGAACCCGATGGAGTTCCTTCTTCTCCACAAGCTCTTGTGCCTAGACGGTCGTGTGTGCCAAGTTTCGTACCACACAGACGCCGTTTGGTAATTTTGGGGCGTCAATACCTCGAATTCAAAGTTTCTTAAGGAACTAGTTTGCTAGAGTGATATCCGACTGTAACTCCCAAACCGGGAACCCAATTGAAGTCCCATTTTCTTCCACAAGCCTCTAATGCCTAGGCGGTCGTGTGTGCCAAGTTTCGTGCTAAACCGACCCCGTTTGGATTTTGGGGGGGCGTCAACACCTCTAATTTAAATTTCTTAATAAACTAGTTTGCCTAGACGAAATTCAGCTCCTACCTCCCAAACTGGAACCGATTGGAGTTCCGTCTTCTCCTACAAGTCTCTGCGATGTCTAGCGGTCTGTGTGCCAAGTTTCGTGCTAAGTTGCCGTCGTTTGGTGATTTTGGGGCGTCAAACACTTGCAATTCAAAATTTCTTAATAAACTAGTTTGCCTAAGACCGAAATCCGGCTCTAACTCCAAACTGGGAACCCGATTGGAGTCCCGTCTTCTCCCAGAAGTTCTCGTGGCTAGGCAGTCGTGGTGTGCCAAGTTTTCGTGCTAAACGCGATCCCGTTTGGTGACTTTGGGCATTAACAACTCCAATTTCAAATTTCTTAATAAACTAGTTTGCTAGTCTGAAATTTGGCTCCAACTCCCAAATCGGGGAACCCGATTAGAGTCCGTTCTTCTCCCACAAGTCTCTCCTGCCTAGGCGGTCGTGTGTGCCATGGTTTCGTGCCACACCGACGTTCGTTTGGGGATTTTGGGGCGTCAATACCTCCAATCAAATTTCTTAATAAACTAGTTGCCTAGAGTGAAATCCGACTCTAACTCCTAAACCGGGAAGCTGATTTAGAGTCCCATCTTCTCCACAAGTCTCTCGTGCCTAGGCGGTCATGTGTGCGAAGTTTCACGCCAATCCGATTTGCGTTTGGTGATTTTGGGGCATCAACACCTCAAATTCAAGTTTTCTTAAGAACTAGTTTGCCTAGAGTGAAATCCGGCTCTAACTCCAAACTCGGAACCCAATTGGAGTCCCATCTTCTCCCACAAGTCTCTTGTGCCTAGGCGGTCGTGTGTGCCAAGTTTCATGCTAAAACCGATTCCGTTTGGTGATTTGGGTGTCAACACCTCTAATTCAAATTTCTTAATAAACTAGTTTGCTTAGACCAAAATCCGGCTCTATCTCCCAAACTGGGAACTCGATTGGAGTCCCATCTTCTCCACAAGTCTCTTCGTGCCTAGGCGGTCGTGTGTGCCTAGTTTCGTGTTATACCGACGCCGTTTGGGGATTTTGGGGCGTCAACACCTCAATCAAATTTCTTAATAAACTAGTTTGCCTAGACTAAAATCCTCCTGCTAACTCCAAAATCGAGAACCTGATTGGAGTCCGTCTTGTCCTACAATTCTCTCGTGCCTGGTTGGTCGTGCTAATCCGACACCGTTTGGAGATTTAAGGGCGTCAACACCTCAAATTCAAATTTCTTAATGAACTAGTTTGCCTAGTGTGAAATCCGGCTCTAACTCCCAAACCCCGATTGGAGTCCCGTCTTCTCCCACATAAACGTTTGTCTGTGCCAAGTTTCGTGCTAAACCGACCGCGTTTGGAGATTTTGGGCCTCAACACCTTGAATTCAAGTTTCTTAAGGAACTAATTTGCCTAGAGTGATATCCGACTCTAACTCCCAAACCAGGAACCCAATTTGAGTCCGATCTTTCTTCCACAAGTCTCTCATGTCTAGGCGGTCGTGTGTGCCAAGTTTTGTGCTAAACCAATGCCGTTTGGTGATTTTGGGGCGTCAACACCTCCAATTCAAATTTCTTAAATAAACTAGTTTGCCTAGATCGAAATCTGGCTCTAACTCCCAAATCGGGAACCGATTGGAGTCCCGTCTTCTCCCACAATCTCCGTGCCTAGACGGTTGTGTGTGCCAAGTTTCATGCTAATCCGACGCCGTTTGGAGATTTAAGGGCGTTAACACCTCCAATTCAAATTTTTTGATGAACTAGTTTGCTTAGAGTGAAATCCGGCTCTAACTCCCAAACCGGGAACCCAATTGGAGTCCCGTCTTCTTTCACAAGTCTCTCGTGCCCTAGGCAGTCGTGTGTGCCAAGTTTCATGCTAAACTGACTCTGTTTGGTGATTTTGGGGCGTCAAACACCTCCAATTCAAATTTCTTAAATAAATTTGTTTGCCTTGACCGAAATCCGGCTCTAACTCTCAAACCGGGAATCCGATTGGAGTCCCGTCTTCTCCCATAAGTCTCTCGTGGCTAGGCGGTCATGTGTAAGTTTCGTGCTAAACTGACGCCGTTTGGATATTTTGGGACGTCAACACCTCCAATTCAAAATTCTTAATAAACTAGTTTGCCTAGACCGAAATCCGGCTCTAACTCCCAAACGGGAATCCGATTGGAGTCCCGTTTCTCCCACAAGTCTCTCGTGCCTAGGCGATCGTGTGTGCCAAGTTTCGTGCTAAACCGACGCCGTTTGGAGATTTTGGGGCGTTAACACCTCCAATTCAAATTTCTTAATAAACTAATTTGCCTAGTCTGAAATCCGGCTCAAACTCCTAAATCGAGAACCCGATTGGGAGTCCCGTTTTCTCCCACAAGTCTCTCGTGCCCAGGCTGTGTGTGCCAAGTTTTGTGCCACACCAATGCTGTTGGTGATTTTGGGGCGTCAACCACTCGAATTCATTTTCTTAAGGAACTAGTTTTCCTAGAGTGAAATCCGCCTCTAACTCCTAAATCGGGAACCTGGTTGGAGTCCCGTCTTCCCCAAAAGTCTCTCGTGCCTAGGCGGTCGTGTGTACGAAGTTTCATGCCAATCCAATGCCGTTTGGTGATTTTGGGGCGTTAACACCTCAAATTCAAGTTTCTTAAGGGACTAGTTTGCCTATAGTGAAATCCTGCTCTAACTCCCAAACTGGAAGCCCAATTGGAGTCCCGTCTTCTCTCACAAGTCTCTCGTGCCTAGGCGATCGTGTGTGCCAAGTTTTGTGCTAAACCGGCCCCGTTTGGTGATTTTGGGGCGTCAACACCTCTAATTCAAATTTCTTAATAAATTAGTTTGCCTAGACCAAAATCCGGCTTTAACTCCCAAACCGGGAACTCGATTGGAGTCCCGTCTTCTCCCACAAGTCTCTCGTGCCTAGACGATCGTGTGTGCCAAGTTTCGTGCCACACTAACGCTGTTTGGTGATTTTGGGGTGTCAACACCTCGAATTCATGTTTCTTAAGGAACTAGTTTGTCTAGAGTGAAATCCGGCTCTAACTCCTAAACCGGGAACCTGATTGGCGTCCTGTCTTCTCCCACAAGTCTCTCGTGCCTAGGCGGTCGTGTGTGCGAAGTTTCATGCCAATCCGACGCCGTTTGATGATTTTGGGGCATCAACACTTCAAATTCAAGTTTCTAAAGAACTAATTTGTCTAGAGTGAAATCCAGCTCTAACTCCCAAACTGGGAACCCAATTGGAGTCCCGTCTTCTCCCACAAGTCTCTCGTGCCGAGGCGGTCGTATGTACCAAGTTTCGTGACAAACCGACGCCGTTTGGTGATTTTGGGGCGTCAGCACCTCGAATTCAAAGTTTGTTAAAGAACTAGTTTGCCTAGAGTGAAATCTGGCTTTAACTCCCAAATCGGGAACACGATTGGAGTCCCGTCTTCTCCCACAAGTCTCTCGTGCCTAGGTGGTCGTGTGTGCCAAGTTTCGTGCCAAACCGATGCCGTTTTCTATTCCGACGCCGTTTCGTGCCAAACAAACCAAAAAGTCATGAGAGCTATGCATTTATTTGTGAAAAAACCCTCCCAATAATATTATTCACCCTTAACCAGCTCTATCTCAAGAGATTCACTGTGAAATACTGTTTAAGTGTTGTTATAATTGCATTTACTGAAGGAGGTGAAGTTAGGAACAGAAAACATATATTGGTTATGCTAAAATGTATTTTGAAGCATTTTCACGTTGTGGTACAGTAAATGCATATTGATAGCAACATCTTGAGGGCCCTCAAATATTTTGATTAAAAAAAATAAAATCATCAAGTTAATCTGTGGCCTCAAGAAAATTACAAAACAGTAGGAAAAAAAGAAAAAACCTTTACCGACAAGTGTTTGAACTTACCAACTACATGTTATACTACATTTAAACATTTTTATCAGTTTCTTTTATTGAAATTTTATTGTGTGATCATCATGAACTGTTTGTCCTCGTAGACTTAAAAGTAAAAATTGGGTTAAGGATAAGGAATATTAGGAAATAAAGGTTTTGAAATCCTAAACAGAGAATTTTGGCATTTTTCTATTAACTGACCAGGCTAATGTATCTTCTATTAACAATAATACACACCAAGATAATTACCCTCGAGCACTGAAAACCATATGGAAAACTCTTCAAAAAGCAAAAAGAAGGTAACAAATCACAGACATAAGGGAGATGGACTATTTGAGCTGGTGATAATTCCATACATGAAAAACATATGGAATTACCTCTCTGAACCTTGTATTGAGCCACATACTAGCACAGCAACGACATTTAAAAGAGTTAAACTTTGCCAAATGCTTGTTTAATTATTTTAACCCACTAAACTAAGTAGTGCTATAGCCTTGACAGTTTCTGGATATAATTATCCATAATGTTAGAGGTTGATCAATGCCACATTCTCCTATCCTTTAATCATTTTATCTTCATTTCTATTGATATCAAAATTGCAATTTTCCTCTAGTACAGTATATGCAGCCACTAAAGACGTTCTCCTGACTAGTAAAGAAAAACATTTATACAATGCATGTAGCAATACAAATGCACTGCAAAAAATAGAAAATATCAAATCCTCATTGATCACCTGGGAGAGACCAACTATGTTGAAACCCTTGCTGTGTTCTTCATTTTCTTCACCTGTCAATTTGATTATGAAGTAGTCACTAGGCAAAATCAAACTTAGAAAACAAAACAATGGAACCACCGAAGGTGGCCATGGAGATACACCACCTTGTCACAAACTTCTTCAGCCTGTAAATATTAAGCACAGTACAAATTAAAACTTGACTACAAATAACAACACTTCTAGATGACGAGCCAAATAACATTATTATGCTAGGTCCTACCTGTTCCTGTAGGGGCATAAACCAAGAGTCCCATGAGCCGTCTCCAATTTCTCTACGGCAGGCGAAGAAGCGGACATACATCAGTATTTCAACAAACTATAATGGGTCACATTTACATAAAAATCACAGTTCAGCTTGACTATATGAGTTGTTTCCTTATTATTCACATCAGTAGACACAAACTTCCAAAGCATACAGCACAGGAATCAAAAACAAAGCCAGAAACCAATCCATAACCCCAGTTATGTTACTTACCAATGGCAAAATTCAAAACTAACCTATAAAAGAAATAAGGTGCATTTCTGAATCTCTTAATACTTCAGTTGCTGAAATTATAATGGCCTTTCTTTCCAAACTGGAAATCATTAATATGGCTTAGCTTGTAAAGTGGTTTCTCCATCCTCATATAAGTCAGATTCAATTGAATAGAGCCATGTTCCATTTTGTTTCCTATTAAATGTTCTTAAGATCATAAAATATCATTGATCTACAATTAATTGTTTTAAGAACTTTTATGGTATATCTTTATTTTTTAAACCACAATGAATCTGATGGGGAATGACAAGGCATACAGACAATATGATTGTAATCGGTTTAGATAACTTGACACAAAGATCAGTATGCAATCACAAGAAGAATTATATATAGGGAGACATAAAACAAGAAGTCATCTGAAACTACTATTGGGAAAAACTACTCACATTACATAATTTCACACTTGCATATCGCAAAAATTATGAGATGAACAAAACAAACCTTCAATCCCAGGAAAAATAACAATGCTGAATAAATATAAATAAAATTATTAAATGGTTAAAGGAAGCAAACACCGAAGCCTGTGTGATATCACAGTCTCCTTAAAATAGATTCGCCGCCTCACCGTTGGGTGCTGGAGGTACGTCGGCGTCTACTTCCCAGGATACGACGTTTTTACAGCTACAACAGAAGCACCTTCTGATTAGATTAGCGAACGGACAACGGCAGCACTCTCTCTCAGGAAGAAAATTATAGGAGAAGTAGACTGACAGTGTATGGATGTCAAGGAAAAATTCTATATCTCTTTTCAAGGAATAGGGCCTCCTTTTATACACCATGGGGGAGAGGGGAGGAGCCTCTAGCCATCAAGGCTGGCAACTAATGCTAGCAAAACTGCCATCAATTTTGTAAAACTAATGAGCCTTAAATGTGTGAGTTATATACACATTTATGAGGCAATTTCTTATTCAACCATTTTTCTCCAACAATCCCCCACATGAAATAAAATTGACCGAATACAGCAAACGCTCAACGTTTATCAACAAAGACTCGGAAAGAGAGAGCGCACATAGACTAACCCTGCATCAGAAAAGGTAGCTGTTGGCCTTGAACCTTTCGTAGTGAAAGCCTATCAGATTTACTGGCTGACCAGTGAACGTGATGTCTTGAACTGTTCTGCCGTTTATGTAAACCGAGACAATAGACCTCACACAGGAGTTAGTTCAACCATTGTTCTTGTTCTCACTAGTGGTGTCTGGTATGGCCCTGGAACACTAGCCTGGTGTAGACGTCCCCGAACGTCCCGGGAGGATGAATCCCGTTCTGTTTGTTTTGGGCTCACCACAGTTCGGACTCTCAAATCGCCATGGTTCTTAATCTGAACCAAAGAGTCCAAATCCGAAAAATCGTTTTGAAAAATAGATTTTTGTAAAGAAGTGCCAAACATGGACTGCTTTGGCAGATACAGAGTCGCCACCTAAATATTTTATTTTGGGAGAATTTAGGAAACCTTGACTCGTTTGCCTAAGGCCATGTGTCCGTCATCACCAGAGTTGCCTCGGCTTGGAACTTGGGTACGATTGGGGAAGGTCAGCTATGAGCACCCCCTCTCGCCCGATCCGAAGATCGGCCTCTACTAACCATGATATCTTGTTTTGAAAACATTATGGGTTCTTATTCCGGTTATTAGCCTAGATTTACTATGTTATGCGCACAGCAAACAAGTATAGACTAGATTGCCTAATTCAGAACAAAGCATTGCCCATCCGTTTGTTTGGAAATGGTTTGAAGTTTGCTACTCGCGAGTAGGCTAAAACACTGATTCCAATGGATTGTTCCAATTCAAGCAATCCAACCTTCACCCACAAGCATTCAGGCAGTTATATCACATAAGCAATTAGCCTCATGGCAAGCATGCTGTCATGGCAACACTCACACGCATGCAAGGATGCTAAAGCATAAGCACTTACCGAGTACTCGAGCCAAAACATAAGCTGATTAGAAATCCATGCATGATCCTAACTATGCTGGAATGCCTAATGCAACACATGCAAAATGCTACTAAAATAGGCTCGGCTATTCTACAATGGCATGTTGAAATACTACTACTAACACGTATTCAACTCGAATTGAAATACAATGCAGTTAGTATGATGCGCCGAGCGGTGCATGCAAGACAGATGAATGGATGCAAATATGCGAGTATAAGTATGCTAATTGAAACATGCCCTAATCTAACCATCATAAGCTGATAAATAAAAGGGGGAAAGACGTGGAGTTGGAAGACATACATTACACGCACACACATTATTACAATTGTGCCCTCACTCGGAGGGTCCGAATAAATAACATACAGTCCGAAAGTAATTACAGTCCGAATAAATAATTACAGTCCGAATAAGTACAAAATCCTAATTAATTAACAACTTAACTAGGAAAGCGGATAAATTAGCATGCAAGCTATGGACCGCCTCAGCTCTGTTCCGAATGATGAATGATGCATGTTCGAGTTGCCTTGCGCGGAAATCCATTGCGATGCCCCGATTCGCCTCTGTTTGCAATTAATGCCGGAATGCTGTGCAAGGCTTTAGAAAGCTGCTGATTTCTGATTTGCTGTAACAGAGAGAGAGAAAGGGGCACAACAAAGTATTTTCACATATGTATGCATGACTACTTTCAGGGAGTGTAGTCCTCGATCCTCGTGCCACCAATCATGCATCTCGATGCATGATGGCCGAGGAGTCGAATTGCACGACTCGATGTGAAATGAATGCACATATAAACACAACAAGACCTAAACTCCATCATGGGTAATCCGGAGTGTCGGCGACCGGGAATTGAGACACGTTCCGTCACTCGGAGTACGAAACGTCCCTCGTTTCTCGTGCTTGGGCTAACTCCTATCTCAAACACAGTGCAAATGAGATGGCATACACAATGCGACTAACATACAACCTAGCATACGCAATGCAAAGGCTAAACATGCAACAACATGAACTACATGCATGCTCGATGCAAGATGGACTTACACCAAAATGAGTGGACCTCAGCCACACTCACATCAGTAGCCATGTGATGAAAATGAGAGAATCGAAATGCATGCACACATGCACGAATGCCAAGGACCGAACCTAAGGCATGAAATACCACTCTGCCAAAGCATGGCAAGGGATGAAAGATGGCATACAAAAATGCAATTTACAGCTCTGAAATATGATGCTCAATGGTCCCGAATCAGGCAAACATGGCACACAATGCAAGCTAGGGGGCCGGGTACCGAAACTAGTAAAGTGCGTTACACTAGAGGTACCCAAAGCAATGCCAAAGGCAAAACCAACAATGCACCAAAGGCAAAACCGACCCCAAACAGACCCTAGGCAGGTCTGAAACAGTGGAAAATTGGCCTAAAATGATGGCTCAACAAGTATGAAAATGAAGCTCATTCAATGGTCGGTAAACAAGGCATTCAAGCCCGACTCTCAAGCACACTTAAAGAGATGAAAACATGGCAATATGGCATTCATATAGGCTCAAATGTGATGTAAAATGGCCTCAAAACATGAACACACCTCAGCACATGCATGCAATGGACCTCAAATCTCAAAGTTAAGCATGGGTATTGAACTACAAGCATGCAAAACAAACATCATTCAATCATGAGACCCAAAAACAGAGCTAGAGAAGTCCAAAATAGCACAATATTAGTTTATGACATGGCCAAAAAGTGCTAAAATCAAGGGCTCACAAAGCATGCAAAGAAAGCTAGTGAACCATGAGTTGTTCTACAACTATATGAAGAATATGAAAGCTCATTAAACCAGCTAAAAAAAGATGTATGCCATGCCAGGATATGCTCAAATAACCACTGAAACTCAGTCAATACATGCAAAAATGATGAGCTCCTTTGGAAGGCCATGCAAGAGGTTACTCTACACCTATATGATGGACACATAAAAGGTCAAAACCACCTCTGGAAATGAGTTATGACAACCTTAAAACTCACCAAATAGGCCTTGGAATTGGTCTAGGAAGCATGCAATGAAAGGTCCCTTTGAAAGGTCTTGAATAGGATTGCTCTACACATGCATCATAGACATAAAATATGGCAATATGGGCTCTGTACAGAGCTAATGCAGACCATAAAACTCACAAAATAAGTCCTGGAATATGACTTCACAACATGCAAAATGGAACTCCTCTGGAAGGCCAACAAAGCTAGTAAAGAGAATGAGGGGTGAGAGGGTCACCCCTCTATGATTTTGGAGCTCAAAGACACATCAAAGCCACTGAAAATCCACTAGATTTCAGTGGCTAAGAGTCCAAAACAAGGCCAATGCAAATGCTTAAATGCATGGCTCAAAGCATGGGAAAATGAAGCATGCAAGGAAGAAGATGACTCCAAACAGAAAAGTGACCTCAGTCAAACTTAAAGAGGAGGTCAAAAAAAGACTTTCTTCAATTTAGGTCGAAGTCCAAAAATGCTCACAAATAGGGCTAAGATAGGAAGCAAAATAATGCAAAAATGGGGGAAATAGAGACTCACCCTTGTAGACAATGACTCCAGCAGCTTCTGGGCCAAGATGGTGAGCCTTCAACCTCTGGAAATCAACTCCAAGATGCTTGGATGGATGGTGGAGGTGTTGTGCTAAGGGTTGGTGTTCAAATGGTGCAAGAATATTAGGGTTTTGGAGCTCAAGTGTAGAGATATAGAGAGAGAGGTGTATAAGTTCTAACCAAAAGGTTCAAACCTTGCAATAGAAGCTCAGCCCCTCCTTTATAGAGGAGAGGCTCTAAAGCTTCCTAAGGAAGCTAAAAACCAAGCTCAAAGATCCTCCATACACGTGTATGGAGGATCACTTCTGAGGCTTCCAACTGGCACAGCTGACTTACACTCAAAGAGACCAAAAAGCAGGAAGCAGGCCGACCAGTTAAGGTGGTCGGCCGGCCACTCCCCCTGGTCGGCCGACCAGGGGTCAAAA